CCCCCACCTACCCTAACTATGTCCCACCTACTCCTAACTATACCCCACCTACCCTAACTATACCCCACCACTCCTAACCATACCTCCCACCTACCCTACCTACAATTCCTACCTACCTTAATCTATACTCACCCTACTCCTAACCATACCTCACCTCCCACCCTACCTATACTCCCTACCTACCCTAACTATACCTCACCTACCCAACTATACCTACCTACTCCTAACTATACTCCCACCTACTCCTACCTATGACCCCCCCTACCCTAACCATAACCCTACCTACTCCTAACTATACCCCTACCCACCTCTACCCATACCCCTACCTACTCCTAAATTATGCCCCCACCTACCCTAACTATACCCCACCCACCCTACCTACACCCTACCTCCCTAACCATAATCCCACTCCTACCCTAACCTATACCCCACTCCCACTCCCACCTATACCCCTCCTCACCCACCCTAACTATACCCCCACCCAATCCCACCCACCCTAACTATACTCCCACCTACCCTACCCATACCCCTACCCACCCCTAACTATACCCCTACCTACCCTAACTATACCCCACCTACCTCTACCCATACCCTACCCACCCTTAACTATACCTCACCTACTCCTAACTACCACCCCATAACTAGCACTCCCACCTACCCTAACTATACCCTCACCTACCCTAACCATACCCCCACCCACCCTACCTATACCCCTACCTACCCTAACTCATACCCCACCTACCCTACCCATACCCCCACCACCTACCTATACCCCCACCCTACCCTAACTATACCCCCACTCCCACCAACTATACCTCACCTACCCTAACTATACCCCACCCACCCTACCTATACCCTACCCACCCCTAACTATACCCCACCTACCCTAACCATACCCCCACCACCCTACCTAACCCCACCTACCTCAACTATACCCCTACCTACCCTATCTATACCCCTACCTACCCTACCTATACCCCTACCCTAACTATACCCTACTTCATCTCTAACTATACCTCACCTACTCTAACATACCTCACCTACTTTAACTATATCCTTCACCTACCCCACCCCTTAAACAACCATTAAACTTAAACCACCCAACCCCAATTGACCCGTAAATTAGGATATGGTCTTGGGCACAGCGGTGTACTTATCAACAGCACACCTACAGGTGGGGTCCCCTACACGCTGCTGGGGAGGGTGAGGAGGGGAGGGGGTGTGGGGAGGGAGGGAGTGCAGTTGTGGGGCCCTGGAGAAGAAACAAGTGAGCATCTATCCTGTCAACTGAAGGGCTTTTTGTGCCATTGTCTCAAGTGTGTTTGGAGTCCGTGGTGGTTTTAGATACAGTATGTGGTTCTGTCTTCCTGCCCTTCTCTCCAGACACAGTGTAAGGTATCAGGGGGAGAGAGAGAGAGAGAGAGCCAGACAGCATCCCGTGTATAAGTGACATTAAACGTGTCTGATGTTGTCTTACCGGAGAACTGAGACAATAGACTCGATTTACTCACAGTGTTGCCTATCTTGTACACTACACATGTACACTTATCTGAGGCCTGTGTACTGTACTGCTAACCTAACCTATCTTGTACACTACACATGTACACTATCTGAGGCCTGGGTGTACTGCGTGTACCGCTAACCCAACCTATCTTGTACACTACACATGTACACTTATCTGAGGCCCGGTGTACTGTACTGATGACTGCTAACCTAACCTATCTTGTACACTACACATGTACACTTATCTGAGGCCTGGGTGTACTCTGTACTGCTAACCTAACCTATCTTGTACACTACACATGTCACTCTTATCTGAGGCTCGGTGTACTGTACTGTACTGCTAACCTAACCTATCTTGCACACTACATGCATTACACTTATCTGAGGCCGGTGTACTGTACTGCACTGCTAACCTAACCTATCTTGTACACTACACATGTACACACTTATCTGAGGCCTGGGGTGCACTACGTACTGCTAACCTAACCATCTTGTACACACATGTACCTTATCTGAGGCCGTGACTGTACTGTACTGCTAACCTAACCTATCTTGTACACTACACATGTACACTTATCTGAGGCCTGGGTTGTACTGTACTGTTTAACTTAACCTATCTTGTACACTACACATGCACACTTATCTGAGGCCTGGTGTACTGCACTGCTAACCAACTATCTTGCACACACATGTATACTTATCTGAGGCCTGGGTGTACTGTCCTGTACTGCTAACCTAACCTATCTTGACACTACATACCTATCTGAGGCCTGGGTGTACTGTACTGTACTGTACTGCTAACCTAACCTATCTTGTACACTACACATGTACACTTATCTGAGGCCTGGTACCACTGTACTGCTAACCTAACCCATCTTGTACACTAACATGTACACTTATCTGAGGCCCAAGTGTACTGTACTGTACTGCTAACCTAACCTATCTTGTACACCACACATGACACTATCTGAGGCCTGCACTGTACTGTACTGCCAACTTAACCTATCTTGTACACTACACATGTACACTTATCTGAGGCCTGCACTGTACTGTACTGTCTAACCTAACTTATCTTGTACACTACATATGACACTTATCTGAGGCCTGGGGTACTGCACTGTACTGCTAACCTAACCCATCTTGTACACACACATGCACTTATCTGAGGCCTGGATTGTACTGTACTGCTAACCTAACCTATCTTGTACACACACATGCACACTTATCTGAGGCCTGGGTACTGTACTGTACTGTACTAACCTAACCTATCTTGTACACCAACATGTACACTTATCTGAGGCCTGTGTACTGTACTGTACTGTACTGCTAACCTAACCTATCTTGTACACTACACATGTACACTTATCTGAGGCCTGGGATTGTACTGTACTGCTAACCTACCCATCTTGCACACTACACATGTACACTTATCTGAGGCCGGGGTTGTACTGTACCGCTAACCTAACCTATCTTGTACACTACACATGTACACTTATCTGAGGCCTTGGTGTACTGTACTGCACTGCTAACCAACCTATCTTGTACACTACACATGTACACTTATCTGAGGCCTGGGTGTACTGTACTGTACTGCTAACCTAACCTATCTTGTACACTACACATGTCACACTTATCTGAGGCCTGGACTGTACTGTACTGTACTGCTAACCTAACCTATCTTGTACACTACACATGTACACTTATCTGAGGCCTGGGTGTACTGTACTGTACTGATGCAACCTAACCTATCTTGTACACTCACACATGTACACTTATCTGAGGCCTGGGTACTGTACTTGTACTGCTAACCTAACCTATCTTGTACATACAAATGTACAACTTATCTGAGGCCTGTACTTGCTGTACTGCTAACCCAACCTATCTTGCATCACATGTACACTTATCTGAGGCCTGGTGTGTATGTACTGTACTGCTAACCTAACCTATCTTGCTACACTACATATGTACACTTATCTGAGGCCTGGGTACTGATTGTACTGCTAACCTAACCTATCTTGTACACTACACATGTACACTTATCTGAGGCCTGTGTACTGTACTGTACTGCTAACCTAACCTATCTTGTACACTACACATGCACTTATCTGAGGCTCCGTGTACTGTACTGGTACTGCTAACCTAACCTATCTTGTACACTACACATGTACACTTATCTGAGGCCTGGGTGTACTGTGCTGTACTGCTAACCTAACTATCTTGTACACTACACATGTACACTTATCTGAGGCCTGGGTGTACTGTACTGTACTGCTAACCTAACCTATCTTGTACACTACATATGTACACTTATCTGAGGCCTGGGTGTACTGTACTGTACTGCTAACCTAACCTATCTTGTACACTACACATGTACACTTATCTGAGGCCTGGGTGTACTGTACTGTACTGTACTGCTAACCTAACCTATCTTGTACACTACACATGTACACTTATCTGAGGCCTGGGTGTACTGTACTGTACTGCTCACCTAACCTATCTTGTACACTACACATGTACACTTATCTGAGGCCTGGGTGTACTGTACTACTAACCATGCTCTTATCGCCTTACCGTCCACTGGCTGGCCTTTGGGGGGTGTGCACAATAAACTAGCCTCTCCGCAACACCCTATACATTAAGAATCCAACTTGCCTTCCACTTCCTTTCCTTCTCCCTCCCTCCCTCCCTCCCTCCTTTCTTCTTTCCTTCTTCATTTTCCTCATGTCCCTTTTTCCTTGTGTTTGTGTCTGTCCTTGTCTGTCTGTCTGTCTGTGTCTGTCTGTCTTTGTTCTGTTGTTTATGCATCTGTACTCATGTCTGTGTATACGTGTCTTTGTATGAGTACATGTCTGTGTATACATGTGTCTGTATATAACAATAATTAGGCAGTAAACGGGAGAATAACACAAATAAAAGACAATAATCAAGAAACAAAATAAAAAAAGTTAAAAACAAGAAATGAGAGAGACAGAAGAATGAGGAATAAGAGACTGAGAATGAGTAATAAGAAGAGAAGAATGAGGAATAAGAGACTGAGAATGAGTAATAAAACGAGAAGAATGAGGAATAAGAGACTGAGAATGAGTAATAAAACGAGAAGAATGAGGAATAAGAGACTGAGAATGAGTAATAAGAAGAGAAGAATGAGGAATAAGAGACTGAGAATGAGTAATAAAAAGAGAAGAATGAGGAATAAGAGACTGAGAATGAGAAATAAGAAGAGAAGAATGAGGAATAAGAGACTGAGAATGAGTAATAAGAAGAGAAGAATGAGGAATAAGAGACTGAGAATGAGTAATAAGAGAAGAATGAGGAATAAGAGACTGAGAATGAGTAATAAGAAGAGAAAAATGAGGAATAAGAGACTGAGAATGAGAAATAAGAAGAGAAGAATGAGGAATAAGAGACTGAGAATGAGAAATAAGAAGAGAAGAATGAGGAATAAGAGACTGAGAATGAGTAATAAGAAGAGAAGAATGAGGAATAAGAGACTAAGTATGAGTAATAAGAAGAAGAATGAGGGAATAAGAGACTGAGAATGAGTAATAAGAAGAATGAGGAATAAGAGACTGAGAATGAGTAATAAGAAGAAAAATGAGGAATAAGAGACTGAGAATGAAATAAGAAGAGAAGAATGAGATAAGGGCTGAGAATGAGTAATAGAAGAGAATGGGAATAAGGGCTGAGAATGGTAATGAAGAAGAATGAGGAATAAAATAGGGGCAGGAAAAAGGACAGAAAACAGAGAAAAAAGAAGCCGTAACGCTAAATATACCACACAGGAAGGCGATAAACCTTGGTAACGCAGAGACCTCCCCCCCCCCCTCCTGGGTCTCGACAAGCAGGCTTGGGTGATGTTTGCAGCTGTCACAATGAGCGGTGGGCGTGGGTTGGGTGTGGGTTGGGTGGAGGGAGAGGAGGGAAAGAGGAGAGGAGGACGAGAGATGAAACGGTGTATGTGGGCGGAATTGTGGGTGGGACGGACGAGTGGGTGGGTGGGGAAAGCTTTTGATAGTTGGGTGATTTGGGTGGTGGTTGTGGTCAGGTTAGGTTTGGTTAGGTTAGGTTCTTCACGTTTCGATATTGCTCAGAACCCCTCCCTCCCTCCTCACCACTCCATAGGACTCAACATCTCCCTCTACGCTGAGTACTGTATGACGTAAGCGTGTACTCAAGTATGTACTCACTCTCCTCCCGTGTACTCAGCTACTCAGTTCACTCATGACTCACCTGTAGGAAGAAAATTATTTTAAAATGTTTACTAAATAATAATAATAATAATAATAATAATAATAATAATAATAATAATAATAAAAACAATAATAATAATAATAATAATAATAATAATAATAATAAAAACAATAATAATAATAATAATAATAATAATAATAAAATCAATAATAACAACAATAACTCAACCCAAAAAATAACGTTACCAAATCTACCTTACTCTAACCAAATCCTAACCTAACCAAACGTAAACCTACCTAACCTAACCTAACCAACCGCTACACAGCTACATAACAAGAAGTCTTTTCTCTTAGCTTCGATCACCGACCAATTTAACACTTAAGGCCCAGCTGGTATACACAAGGGTGGTGCTTGAGGGCTTAACAACATCTAACACTCAACTAAGAACTATACCTGGTCCTGAAATTTATTTTATTTTAACCTAACCTAACCTACACTAAATTAACCTAACCTACACTAAATTAACCTAACCTACACTAAATTAACCTAACCTACACTAAATTAACCTAACCTACACTAAATTAACCTAACCTACACTAAATTAACCTAACCTACACTAAATTAACCTAACCTACACTAAATTAACCTAACCTACACTAAATTAACCTAACCTACACTAAATTAACCTAACCTACACTAAATTAACCTAACCTACACTAAATTAACCTAACCTAAATTATTCTATCCAACGTAAAACTAAATTAACCTAATTAAGATTAAATTAACCTAACCTAACCTAGCGGGATTTCTTTTTTTTTTAGAGGAAACTTTTATTTCCAATGGAATTTTATGAAGGTTTAACGAACGAGAAATTTATGAAGGTTTAACGAACATGCCGAACTCTATACCGGCCCATGGGCCACCTCGGCGTGCATTTGTTTAAGGTTCTGCGAAGCTGTCGCCAACACAACAACCACACCCCGAGTTAACGAGCTGCATGGCCCAGTGTCAAGGAATAGTCCGAGAAGACCGGACAACTCGCCAACTGCACTGGCTAACCATTACCCCGGAATACGATTCCCAAATCGATTAACATCCAGGTCCCCAATTACTGCTGGGTAGACAGAGGCAAATGGCGTAAAGAAACTTGCCCACAGTTTCACCCTGCCCGGGGATCGAACCCGGGACCGCTAGCTTGCGAGGTGAGCATGCTGACCACTACACCACAGTCTACATACACACTGAACTGTATACCTACATTGTCTACATACATGCTAACCATTACACCACATTGTCTACATACGAACTAAACCAATGTAGACAACTTTAACGACTTTACTGTAACTCATCCAACGACCCACTTTTGTAGAGGTGAACGACCCCAGAATTTCGGTGAGGACAACAACCTCGGGGAAGGAGGAGGAGGAAGAGAGAGGAGGAGAGGTCGTGTTATCCAGTTGATGGTAGATGCAGATAGGGAACTAAGAATTAAACAGACGGTCTCCTTGTTCCTGCCCGACTAAGGAAAACACAGATGCCTTCAAAACACTCATGGGGGCGCCCGCCGCACTCTCTCATATCTACCTTCTATTCCTCTTTCTTCCCTCTCTATTCCCATTCGTCTCTCTATTACTTATACTTCCCTCCCTTTATCCACAATCTTTCCTCCCTCCTTCCCTCTCCCTCCCTCTCCATAATCTTTCCTCCTCCTTCCCTCCTCCCCTCTCCCTCTCCTCTATATGAAGACTGGAGACACACAAGACACTGAATAGTTAACTCTCTCTAAAACCACTACAGCTGTAATAATAAGATGGAAAACAAGATGGCGTCAAAATACACCAAGACTCGAGTATAATCAGATGTGTTCACTGAGAGCTTTATATTACAGGAGTATAATTATTGTTACGAGGGTTTGAGAACCTGCACACACACACACACACACACACACACACACACACACACACACACACACACACACACACACACAGGCCTGATGACACTAACGAGACTTGCATGCATTAGAGAGAGAGAGAGAGAGAGAGGGTTAAAAACGAACACATATAAAGAGAATCTAATCCCATATATAAACAATAAGGTCACATGTTGCTAAGTCTGACCCTCCACCCCCCCACCAAGCCCGGTGTTTATAAAGGCGCCATATTAATGTGAGTTATGGCGCCATGGTGTGATGACTGATGAGACTACACCACACACCCCTACACCCCAAGACTACACACACTCCCTACACCCAGGACACCACACACACCTACACCCCGAGACTACACCACCACCCCTACACCCTGAGACTACACCACACACCTCCCTACACGAGACTACACCACACCCCTACACCCTGAGACTACACCACACACCTCCTACACCCTGAGACTACACCACACCTCCCTACACCCTGAGACTACACCACACACCTCCCACACACTGAGACCACACCTCCCTACACCCTGAGACTACCACACCTCCCTACACCCCGAGACTACACCACACACCTCCCCACCCCGAGACTACACCACACACCTCCCTACACCCCGAGACTACACACACACCTCCCTACACCCCGAGACTACACCACACACCTCCCTACACCCCGAGACTACACCACACCTCCCTACACCCCAGTACACCACACACCTCCACCCAGAGACTACACCACACACCTCCCTACACCCTGAGACTACACCACACACCCTACACCCTGAGACTACACCACACACCTCCCTACACCCTGGACAGTGTTACATTAAAATAACTTTGCCATGGACACCAATACTACAATAACACCACTATATACCTACACCCGCCTACACCCTACACCATCAACAGAATTATGGCACTGAGTTTCGAACCAAGGGACATCAGGTTGCAGTTTGAGTCATTCTAACCACTATGCCACAAGATTGAGTTAGTGTTACACCAGGTCTATTAACACCCAGATAACGCCACACTACACCATACTACACACCACTACACCACACTACACGCCACTACACCATACTACACCACACACCATACTACACCCTCCTACACCATACTACACACACCACTACACCACACTACACCCATACTACCGCCACTACACCACACTACACTCCACTACACCATACTACACACCACTACACCACTCTACACACCACTACACCACACTACATCACACTACACCACACTATCCACTACACCATACTACACACTACCCTCCTACACCCACTACACACCACTACACCATACTACACACCACTACACCACACTACACCACACACCCTCACACCACATACTACACCCTCCTACACCATACTACACCACACACCTCCCTACACCATACTACACACCACACCCTACACCACTACCCACACCCCTCACTATACACACACACCTACTACTCCACTACACCACACACACACCCTACACCTCTACACACCACTACACCCACACACCACTACACCACTACACACCACACCACACCACCACTACACCATACTACACACCCACTACACCATACTACACACCACTACACCATACTACACCCTCCTACACCACACTACACCACACTACACACCACTACACCATACTACACACCACTACACCACACTACACTCCACTACACCACACTACACACCCACTACACCACACTACACACCACTACACCACACCACACGCCACCACACCATACACACACCACCACACCATACCACCCTCCCACACCATACCACACACCACCACACCACACACTCACACACCACTACACCATACTACACACCACTACACCATACCACACACCACTACACCACACTACACACCCACTACACCACACATACACCACTACACACTTTTACCCAACCCATACACCACTACACCATACTACACACCACCACACCACACTACACCCACTACACCATACACCACTCACACCTCACACCCTACACCACCACACACCACCACACCACACACACCCTCCACCATACACACCACACACCCTACCCACACACCACTACACCCTCACCTACCCCCCACCAACACCCTCCTCCTACCTCACACCTCCTACACCACACACCACCACCCCCCTACACCTCCACACCCACACCACACTACACCACTACACCATACACACATCACTACACCACACTACACCCACTACACCACACTACACACCACTACACCCTAACACCACACACCACACACCATGCACACACCACACACCACTCACACCACCACACTCCCACCATACACACCACACCATACTACCCACACACCCTACTGCACCACATACTACACACCCTACACCACACACGCCACTACACCACCTCCCTCACCCTACCTCACACCCTCCTAC